GGTGTGCATGAGTGTGGATGGGTGGGAGAGAGAGGCAGAGTTAGGTGTGCATGGATGTGGATGGGTGGGAGAGAGGCATAAATGGGTGTGCATGGATGTGGATAGGTGGGAGAGAGAGGCATAGTTAGGTGTGCATGGATGTGGATGGGTGGGAGAGAGAGGCATTGTTAGGTGTGCATGGATGTGGATAGGTGGGATAGAGGCATAGTTGGGTTTGCATGGGTGTGCATGGAAGTGGATGGGTGGGAGAGCGACATACTTAGGTGTGCATGGATGTGGATAGGTGGGAGAGAGGCATAAATGGGTGTGCATGGATGTGGATAGGTGGGAGAGCGGCATAGTTGGGCGTGCATAGAAGGGAATGGGTGGGAGAGCGGCATAAATGGGAGTGCAGAAGTTGATGGGTGGGAGAGAGGCATAAATGGGTGTGCATGGTAGGTATGGGGAGAAAGAAGCTGTGAATGACGAAATACCCAAAGGCAGTTGAGGAAGATAACAGGAAACAATCTGCCATATTAATGTTCAAAGCATTGAACAATAGCTCTCCACATTACTTAACAGATATGTTTAAGAATACAAGAAACATTCATTCCCATAATCTAAGAGGATCTTCTCACGGCTTATTTGTACCCAGACAAAATAGTGAATCAGGGAAACGCAGTTTTAACTACAGAGGGGTTGTTCTTTGGAATAGCCTCCCTGATAATATAAAAAGTGTGTCAACATTAAGTAACTTCCGTAACTCACTGGATGATTTTCTTCAATAATTAGAATTCGTAATATACTCTGCTAGCGGAGGTACTCTCCCCCTTTACCAATTTTACTAAGGTGAGGTCGTATTGTGCCCCAGCTGACAGAATATTGAATATTTTTGACATTTCCAATTATTTATATCTTATAAGTTATATATATACATTTATATAATTTATTTTTATTTCTAGTTATACAATTTATATCTATTATTCTATTGTGTGTTTAACACACCTCTTAGGAAGAGCATTTTGTATGATAAGACATCCGTGTTTAAATAAAGATTATGTATGTATGTATGTATGTATGTATGTATGTATGTATGTATGTATGTATGTATGTATGTATGTATGTATGTATGTATGTATGTATGTATGTATCTA